ACTTGAATAGACATTTCTCCAAACAAAACAGACACACATCTAGTTAACATATGAAAACATTAAGGAAATGCAAGTCAAAACTACAGTGAGATGCTACTCACATGCAAGAGCAGGGCAACTACCAACAGAAGGAAAAACAAACAAACAAACAAACAGAAAATACCAAGTGTTACCAAGGATAAGAAATGAGGACCTGTGCATTGTTATTGGGACATACAACAGTTTCAGAGAAATAAAACACACCACTGACAGTCCTGATCCAGTGAGTCACTTCTGGGTCTATAGTCCAAAGAATGGAAAGCTAGTTTTCTGGGGTACATCTGTACACCCATAGCAATGCCACTTCCAACAGCTAAAATGTGGAAACAACACAAATGTCCATTTGGAGAGAAACACGATTAAGCAAAATGTCAAATATACATGCAATGGAATACTCTTCAACCTTAAAGAAAAAGCGAAATCCTCTCATTGTTACAAGGTGTATGAACTTTTTTCTATTTATTGTTTTGTGTATGAGTGTTATGCCCGCATGTATGTAAGTGCACCTGTGTCATACACTGCCCGTGGAGGACAGAAGAGGGTGTTGGATCCCCTAGAACTGGAGTTATGGATCGTTGTTATCTGTCATGTGGGTGGATTGGAACCGGGGTCTTCTGCACAAACAGCTGTTACTCTTAACCACGGAGCCATCTCTCTAGCCCCAAGATGGATGAACTTTGAGGAAATTAGGCTCAATGAAATAAGCCAAATCTTCAAAAGGTGACTTCTGCACAAATACTATATTATTGCATTTGTATAAGGTATTCAGAGTAGTCAAAAATCAGAGACAGAAAGAAAATGGTGGTTGCCAGAGGCTGCAGAGAGATTGGAACAAGAACCTGCTGTTTTATCAGTACAGACTTTTACTTTGCTACTGAACTATACACTTAAATGGTTATGTTGGTATGTTTTGTGCCAGGTGTATTTTACCACAATACCAAAATTTGAGAAAAACACTATGACACTTTTAGAAATATTCCATCAGAAAAAGTATCTTAACTTTTCTTTGTTTTTGTTTGAATATTTGTGACAAGTTCTCACACAGTAGCTCAGGCTGGCTTGAATTCATTGTGTATCCCGGGCTGGCCTCTCAGACTTGTAGTGATCCTCCTACCTCAGCCTCCTGAATGCTGGGATTACAGGTGTGCACTGTCATATCCGACTAAGTCTTAATCTGTTTAAGATACCAAAATATGAGCTAAGAATTTTACATCAAGCAAAAGTGACCTCACTATGAAAGACTCAGACAAAATAGATTCAACATCTACAAAACTCCGGAAGTTTGTTCCTGTATCCTCCTGAGGAACTTACAAATACTAAACTTCAGGCAGCCCAAATTATTGTTGACATAAAGGTACCAGCATAAGAACTAGTCAGAAGCCTTAAATAATTACTTACAAAATTAAAACAAAATGTGGAAAAGGGAAACAAATCTTTAAAGGTAAAAATGTAAAGGGAACAAATACGGTACACAATGGGTATAATCTTTGCAGAGACACAGTACAATGAAATAAAATGGCACAGACGACATGAAGGGCTAGTATGAAGGACCCAGCTGCTCTAGTCGCCATGTCGGTGGTGGCTGTATTTCTACTATTTTTCTGAAGCAGTGACATGTAATGGGAGATAAATATTTAATAATGGAATTTTTATTTCATAGTGTTCCTCATTCCTCACCAGGTATTGTGGTATGAAAGTAAGGCCATATGTAGGTAAGACAGAAGAAGTTAAAATTTCTGAATTTGAATTGGACTCATTATAAACTCATGAAGTCTAGGATATTGATCAAGCTATAGGTAATAGATAGATTACTGATATAGATATAAGTATTGTTCCTACCATGCCCATTAAAATCTCTAGAAACAAAATCTAATCAAGCTGGGTGTTGTGGTACATTCCTGTAATCCAAACATTTGGGAAGGCTAAGGCAAGAGGATTGCTAGTTTGAGACCAGCAAGACCCTGTCTGAAACAAACGAAGCCCAGTGTATTAGTTACTTTTCTGCTGATGAGATAAAATACTGTATCCAAATGCAACTCAGCAGAGAAAAGGATTTATTTTAGGTTACAGTTTCAGAGAGGATACAGTCCATCATGGGGGGAAGGCATAGTAACAGGCTGAGTGAGCATGTAGGCATGATCAGGATGCTGGCTGATCACATTTTCATCCTCACATAGGAAGCAGAGAGAGAAAACAGGAAGTAAGGCCAGGCTATAAACCCTCAAAGCCTGTCCCAGATGATGAACTTCCTCTAGCAAGGCTATACCTCCTAAAGTTCCATAACTTTCCCAAATAGTGCCATCTGTTAGAGACTAGGTATTCAAAGCCATGAGCCTATAGGGGACATTTCTCATTCAGACATCCATACCTGGTAACCATTAGTATCTTTGATCTTCGGATTATTGTCTTAAAATACCATTCCCACTAAGAAGAGGAATGGAAGCCAGGCATGGTGGCACATGCCTGTGATCCCAGCACTTGGGAGGCAGAGGCAGGCTGATCTCTATGAGCTCAAGGCCAGCCTGGTCTACATAGTGAGTTCTAGGCCAGCTGGGGCTACAGGGAGACCCTGTCTCAAAAAGACCAAAAAAAAAAAAAAAAAAAAAAAAAAAGAAGAAGAAGAAAAAAAGAAAAGAATGGATTCTAAGACAAATGGTTGGTTCTAAGCCTTCAGGAAGAAATATACAAGATGTGCTTGTAATATCTTGATATACCTGAGAGCAAGTAAGTATCAGAGACTGAGGGTCATGTCAGAAGGACTCCAAAGACAACATGAGGTTCCTACCAGCCAAAGATGGAAGACTTCAAGTTTCATTGAAGATCATCATTACATTAGGCTGAAACCCATTACATATGTTAAATCTATAAGCTCATGATGATTTTTTTAAAGTTATCTTTAAAGAGTGATACAAAACCAATTTTTTGTCTTAAAATCTGGCAAATAAAAGGAAAGGAACAAATATTTACCTCCTTTCCCATATGAGCTACACCACTGGAAAATTCAATAGTTAATGAAGGGAAATATCTCTTTAAAACAAAATCATGCTACTTGGTAAGTGAAAAGGAAATGACAGAATTGGAATATCACAATTTCACAACCCCAGTGAATTAATGGATGTATCCACAGGACATCCGCACCAGCCAACATCACTAAAAGAAAGGCAACCAGACATTAAAATGCATCCTGACAAAGAACAGCCAACAACAGTCTTGCCAAAGGGACTGAACTTGAGAACAATCCATCCTCTGGGTCCAGCTGCCCTTTCACAGGAAATAGGACAGAAGGGCATGTTAACCCGAGCCAGGAGGCAATCAGCAGAGCTCAGTGAATGTGGAAAATCTGGGGTCAAATGGTCCAGCTTTTTCCCACAAGCATACTGTACAGAGAAGAAAAAGAGGGAAAGGAATTTATTGTTTAAAACAGATTTAAAAAGGCATATCAAAAATTTTTAAGTGGATGAGACTAATACATAGGAATGTACATTCAGGTGGGAAACCCATAAAGAAATACAAGGAATGACAGCTAGAAAAGCCAGAGTGATGGTCATTTGAGGACTAAAAGGGAGCCATGGCAGAGACCTACACAGAAACTTGTAGGATATTTGCAGGGCTTTGTTGTTTTGTTTTGTTTTTTGGAGATGGGGTCTCCCTGTAGTCCCCACTGGCCTGGAACTTGCTAGGTAGACCAGGCTGACCTAGATCTCCCAGTTCACAAAGAACTGCCTGTCTCTGCCTTCCAACTGCTAGGAATAAAGGTGTATACCTCTCAATCTGAAAGATTGCTTTTTAAATTGATCATCAAATTACACATTTGTTATGGGGTATAAGGGTTTGGGGGCGTTGTTTGTTTTTTTGGCATCTGTGTTTTCTTTTTTCAAGTTAAAAAAGGTTTAAAATGGAATTTTTGCTATGAAAAACAGTCAGAAAGTCCCTCATAAAATTGTGCACAGAATTCTCACATGACCCAGCAATTCAATTCTTAGGTATGTACTCAAAAGAATTGAAAAAAAGAGGGCTCAGCCAGGCGTGGTGGGTCACGCCTTTAACCCCAGCACTCGGAAGGCAGAGGCAGGCAAATATCTGTGAGTCCAAGGCCAGCCTGGTCTACATAGTGAGTTCCAGGCCAGTTGGGGCTATAGGGAGACCCTGTCTCAAAAAAAAAAAAAAAGGAAAAGAAAGAAAAATGAGGGGCTCCATTAAGAGGTTAGGTGTTTGCTTCCAAATCTGATGCTCTGATTCCTAAGACCCACATAGTAGAAGGAGAGAACCAACTCCCACAGGCTGTCCTCTAACCTCCACATGTGTGCTATATTAGGCACTTGTGCATACACACACACACACACACACACACACCTGTGAATAAGTAAGTAAATGTAATTTAAAAAAATAATTAAAAGCAGAGTCAAACAGATATTTATATACCAATGTTCAGTGGGCACTAAGCATGATAACCAAAAAGGTGAAACACCACCAACATCCATCAACAGATGAACCAACAGACTATGGTCTACACATCCAGTGAGATGTGTAGCTCTCTGTAAAAAGGAAGAATGTTCTCACACGTGCTGCACCACAGATGGACCCTGAGGACATTATGTTAAATGAAACGAGCCAGTCAAGCTATTTAGGGTAGTCAAAACCTCTGCAGAAAGTAGAATGTTGGTTGCCGGGGCTAGAGGGAGAGCGGGGTGAGGAGTTATTGTTTAACTTGTTTGGAGTTTCAGTTTTGCAAAATGAAAGAGTATTGGCAATGGACAGTGGTGAATGAACTAATGCCACAGAACCAAACATTTTTAATGACTAAAATTGTACTGTATTTAAGTAATGAAAAAAATGTACTATATTGACACAGTGAATATTTTTTAAAAAAACAGTCTTCGTGGCATCGAGATATAGTAGATACTTGAGAATAAACTAATATGAAACTTCCTGCATATCCACATATTGCAATCTTTTGACAGAATGGCTGTGTAAATGAAGCACAGACGTGGGAGTCAATGAGACAGTTAAACAAAAGCCTCTCGCTGGAGGATGTGTGGGGGCCACAGGTAAGAAAAGCACTGTCTTACAAACTGTAGATTGGAATCACAAGTTTGGCATTTATATTAACAAAAGCTTGATGGAAACACTCTAGAGGTAAACTGTTTTGGTAAATCGAGTACTATCTATGACTTCAAAAGTGCCTTAATTTGTTTGATTTTCTGTGTATTCTTTGATGCCAATTTAATATTCACTACTGAAAATATGCATTTACAAATTATCAAAAGTCCCATAAACTTATGAAAGTATGGAGAATGAATTTTTTAGCTATCTTAAGGGCAAGTGTAGTGTATGTGACACATGCCTTAGATCTAGCACTCGGGAGGCAGAGGCAGGTGGATCTCTATGAAATTGAGGCCAACTTGGTCTACATAGCATGTTCTAGGCCAGCTGAAGCTACAGGGAGACCCTGTCTCAAAAAAAAAGAAAGAAAGAAAGAAAGAAAGAAAGAAAGAAAGAAAGAAAGAAAGAAAGAAAGAAAGAAAGAAAGAAAGAAAGAAAAGGAAAGGAAAGAAATGAGGAAAAGAAAAGGGCTACCCTATCTTCCAGGGCTGGAGAGATGGCTCAGCAGTTAAAAGTACTGACTGCTCTGCAGAGGACCCAGGTTCAATTCCCAAAACCCACATGACAGCTAACAACCATCCATAACTCCATTTCCAGGGGAATCCAACACCCTCCTCTGACTTCTGAGAGCATTGCATGACACAGGTGCACTTAAACACATGTAGGAAATACACATAAAATAAATAAATAAAACAATTAAAAAAAATACTGCTCTTGCAGAGGACCAGAGTTTGATTCCCAGTTCCCATGTTGGTTGGCTCTCAAGTGTCCCCATTTCCAGGGAATGTAACGCCTCTGGCCTAGATGGGCACCTGCACATATTTGCACCTATCCATCCACAGACACACACATACACATAATTTTTAAAAATACTAAAAATAAATCTTTAAAATGGACCACCTATCTTCATTTCTTTACTTAAAAATTAAGTCGTCAGCAAGCTCTTCCCTGATCATCAGGCCCATGACAGCCCTCGTCTCTCTTCCCTCATTGTCTAGCATCACCAGCATTTATAACCATCTGACATATTATGTAGCCTACTTTTTAATCTTTTTAAAAAATCATTATTTATGTATTTGAGTGTTTTGCTGCATGTAAGTGCACTGTATGTGCAATGCCCATAGAAGCCAGAAGAGGGCATTGGATCCCCTGGAACTGGAGTTAGGGGTTAGCCACTATGTGGATGCTAGGAACCAAACCCAGGTCCTCTGCAAGAGCAGCCAGTGCTTTTTAACTGCTGAACCATCTCTCTAGCCCCCTACTTTTAAAATCTTGTTTTCTGACACCCTCACCCCACCCCAACTAAACCCAGCTTGCACAAGGCACTGGCTTCGACTTCTAGTACCACAAAGAAAAGGAAGAGAAGGGAAAGGAAAGGAGTAGGATTGGAGTGGAGAGGAGGGAAAAGGAGAGAGAGCAAGAGTGAGAGAGTGAGAATGGGGGGGAGGGAGAGAGAACAAAAATTTGCATCCTACTTCAGATCTACTGAATCAGAAATGCAGGTGTGACCAAGTCATCTATTGTCACAAGCTTCCCAGGGGACTCTCCTAGATGTATGCTGAGAACTACCACACTATTTCACATCAGTTCAGGAAAATTCCATGATTGTTAATTAGCTGCTCACTATTTCCTTGTTGTATGCTATATTTTGTAGCATCTCAGAACACTGAGATGCCTTTTGTAAGATTTTGTGTTATAGAGTGTGCTCTTTACACCTTTCTCCAACTCCAGACCCTCTTTGAGATGCCTTTTATAAGATTTTGGGTCATATACACACAATAAATTAATTAATTAAATACCTATCTAGGGGGCTGGAGAAATGGCTCAGTGGTTAAGAGCACTGACTGCTCTTTTAGAGGACTGGGGTTCGATTCCCAGCACCCACATGACAGTTAACAACTGTCTATAACTCCAGTTTCAGAGGAATCCAACACCCTCTTCTGACCTCTGAGGGTATTGCATGGCATGGGTACACTTACATACCTGTAGGCATAACACTCATAGGTGGCGCCTGTAGTCCCAGCAACGCCTGTAGTCCCAGCACTTGGGAGGCAGAGGCAGGCAGATCTCTGTGAGTTCAAGGCCAGCCTGGTCTACATAGTGAGTTCCAGGACAGGTGGGGCTACAGGGAGACCCTGCTTCAAAAAGCCAAAAAAAAATGCATACAAGGATACAAGGTAAGTCCTTCTTATCAGTGCCCTGCTGTGTTGATAGAATGTCCAGTGTCCTACACATAGTGCAAATATCTCAGGTTCTTTCAAGTTCATGGCTCCATGCACTAACTAACTTGGTAGCCAAGAACTTTCATAGTCCATGGTGGACCCAGAAAATATTTTATATTTTTAAGTTACTTTACATCCAAAACTATGAGCCTTTTTTATTAATATATATCCAACATTCCAACATATTGCTTTATAAAATGTTTTATAAATTAGAAATTGCAATGGCAAGAAAGGTAGACAAAGATGAGAAATGTATGAAGCTGTGAATTTATTATTTCACATTTCATCAAAATGTATAGTAATACTTCACAAAGAAAGTTAAGAGTTATAGTGATAGAACTTATGCTTAATATAAAATTATATAGTAACTCACCTTCAACACCTAGTAGATTTAAGATAGACTATACTCATAGTACCACTGGGTTAACAAGCATCAAAGTGTAAGGACAATAGGGAAAAAACAAGAAATAAATACCAGACAAATCCAGTTAGTTATTCCAAGGCCATAGACAGAATTTAGCATTGTAAGAACCCATCATAGGGAGATGAGTAGATTAACTAAGACAGATGAAAGTGTAGATCTAGACCCAAGCTTATCAGGTATGCAGTTGTGGGTGAATATCATTCCAAATGGATGAGGATAACATCCGATCCTAGAGGAGCCTGGAAGCCTCTGTCTCTCTCCAAGGGCAATCTTGTCTTTATCAGGCTGGACCCACCTTGCACGTGGACAGGGATGGACCACTGCCAAGCTACTGTGGTCATATTCATTGCTAACTTATAGACAGACACTGTTCTCAGACTTTATCCTTCTTCTCTGGGAAAAAAAAAAAAAACCAGTGAGGCTCCTTTTCCCACACTACTACTCACCATCCTCGTCTGTAATCAGACTAGGGATGGGCTGGTTTATGTGGTTCATCCCCTCAGAAGTTCTTCCCTGGGCAATGAGTCAGGGCTGGTAAGGGGTGAGTGCCAGGCATTCTCTGGTGGCAGAATAGAAAGGGGTAGACATTGCATCTCTAATAATTTTTCAAGATAAACATATGAGAATCCAGTTCTGTTTGTTAAAGTCAGAAAAATGATCTCTTTTTTGCCTTTGTTTCTTTTTCAGAACTATAGAACCTGTTTTTCTTATGCTGTTGGAAAACCAGGAGACTTAAACCAACCATATGAAATTTTAAACAGTACTGGTAATAACCATTTAATATGGCCCACGGACCATTCTGGAATGTATGTGTTTCATGTGAGGATCCTAGATCCAAACTTCAGGTAATATAAATGTTTTATGACATAGTTTCCTTTTTTTTTTTTTTTTACTTTCTTGATTTAATTTGATGCCAACTAAATACGTAATTCTTGTTATTATTTACATATTTACCATTTTTTAGGGACCATGGTAAACATTCTATGGAAGTAGGAGATGTTATGTGAACTAAATTTTAGTAATTGAATCACTAGGTTTGAAATTCCATTCCGAGTGCTTTGCTATGTTCTGTTGCCATGTGTTACTTTTCTCATTGTTATGATCAAAAACTCAGCCAGAAGCATTTAAAGGGAGGAAAGATGTATCTTGGCTCACAGTTTGTGGGTAAAGCCTACTATGATGGTAAAAAACAACAGTGGTAGAAGATGAGGCAGCTAGTCATATGACAGCTGCAATCAGGAAGCAGAGAGCAACAGATGTCCTGCTCAACACTCTTTCTTTCTCTTTTTATTCAGCTTGGGACCCCAGACCATGGGATTATACTACTTTGTTTAGTGTGGTTCTTCCTCAGCTAAACATTTCTAGAAACACCTTTATAGACACTTCCTAAGGTGTGTTTCCATGGTGATTCTAAATTCGGTCAAGATGACAAGGAAGATTAACCATCTCACCTAGCATGTGCAAGGCTCTGGGTTCCATCCTAGGACTATAAAACAGAAGCTTGTAAGCCCTAGTGCTTTGTTCTAGGAGATAGACTCATATAATGTGGACCGTACCAATTAGTAATGATTAAATGGGATTCTAGTAATGTGGCACTATCTTTTGAGTTGTATGGTATTTGATATAAGACATCCCTGCTCCAAGAAGGGGAATGAAGTGTTGTGACATTGTGAAACAGACTACAACATATTTTTTTCCCTCCATTACCAGGCATACAAATACTAAAACCCTTCCAGTCTTCAAAATGATGTATCTTTTGACATGCTAATGAGTAGGTTGATGGCTGGCAGCTCCTAGGTAGTTTCAAGATGGTCTTTCAAGTGGAAAGACCAAGACAAAATTAGAGAATTATGATTTTCAGCCCTGTACCCATAAGTCTCCAGTATATTTCTAAGAAGTCTGGAAGTGCCTAAGGTTAATAGGGAAGATTTCCTTCAGAGGGAGTTTTCTGAGTGCTGTGCATTTCCTTCCCTGCCTATGAGGATGAGACTCCTTCCCCACAAGTGAAGAGGGGCCTCAGGAAACCACTGCAAGCTAGCATTTGTCTTACCTGGGGATGGAGACAACTGAACTATTCCTGACCCTCTTCTAGAAACTTTGAAGGTGATGGGCAGTTTACAATAAACTGGTGAAAGGCAGGCTGAAGGGTGATGTGGGAGCAAAAGGGGCTCTCATCAATGATAGGGGAAATGTGGGCACTTTCTGATGACTACAGGTATGGACTGCATTAGAAGAAACTGGACTCTTCTGGGCATGGCAGTGTAAGCCTGTCATCCCAGCTACTCAGGAACAGCTGCCCCAGTTGGATCCCTTGATCCTAGTTTAAGACCAGTGTAGGCAAGACCCTAAAAAAAAGAGGAAACTAGGTTTGGGTCATCATAAGAGTGATCATTTTGCTACTTCAAAGGTGAGGTGACCCAAGAGAAAGAGAATGTGCAGGAAAACCCCTAGTGAACCAGGAGTTGAGGAATGGTTGATAAATAGAGTATCACCTGAGTCCTGGAAGGTCAGGGGAAACCTCCCAGATATAAGATGGGAGTGTGTGAAGAATCCAGTCAGTACAATGAGTGCTGGAAAACTAGTATTTGGGCATGGAGTCTAGGCCATGAGTACAATTTGTGCTATCCATAAACTCATGGTTATGGGGCCATCCACTGGAACATATCAACCTTCCAGGGCCATACCCTTAAAGAAAATGACTCTCTCCCCACAGAAGCCATCAGCTGTCAATAACTCCTCAGATGGAGGCGGATACATGTGAGCCCCTCCCTACTCCGTGCTCTAATGTTGATTGGCTTGATCTTGTACAGGTCTTGTGCAGGTAACCACAGCTGCTGTGAGTTCATGAGTACAGTGATCCTTTCCTATCCAGAAGACCCACTTTCACTATGCTGCTTTTGCAGTTTTTCTATATCCTGTCTTCCTTGATGATCCCTGAGCCTTGTGGGAGGGAGTGTGATACAGACATCCCATTTGTGACTGAGCACTCCACCAACACTTACTCTCTGTACTTTGACCAGTTGTGAGTTTCAGCCCTAACCACTGCCCAATGCAAAGAAACTTCTCTGATGAGGTCTGACAGCTGAACTAATCTATGAGTATAGAGATATAAATTTAGAGAGCAATTTGAAACTAAGTCCATTTAGCAAAATAATAGTAGTAGGTTCACCCCCCCCCCAGGTTTAGGAGCTCCCCAGTAATGGGTTCTTAGCCAGATTTTCAGTACTTGGCATGTGGGGTTGGCCTGAAACTAGAAAGGGGCCATTGATGGAAAGGGAAAAGATCTTAAGGGAGGGGAGATAGAACACAGGTGACATGGAAGGGAAAGGGGGAATAATGAGGAGGGGGGTTTAAGTGGAGAGAGGGATGGGAGGGTAGTGCAGAGGAGAGGTAGGGGAGGGATAACTAACATTTGAAAAAAAATACAGAAACCTATCATTTTAGAAGCATTCTATATTTTTTTTCATATAAAAGACTTTAATTAGAGTTACTCTATACAGGAGATAATGCTCCTCCCAGAAGCTATAGGCTGACAAATAAAAATCCAGTGCCAGGGGTGGGATACCTCCCCTCCAGTTGTTGTTCAAGGGTGTCCCAGAGACCCCCCCCAAACAGTACAGGCTATTGCCATTGCTCTTGGTTACCCACCAGAACTTGATAGTTAGACCCTACTTTTAAAGAGACTGTATACTTTGGCCACAAGACATGGGGAAATCAAGTTGGTACTGACCAGGAAGCTTCCTCTCTGCTGACTAGCTTTCATTGTACTGCTATGCAGGCCACTAGGGAGAAAAAGTAATCAGCAGTCTTACTCAGCTGTGAACCCTGTGAGCTACAACAGTGCCTGGCATGGCAAGATATGAGTACAATAGTGGCAGGAATATTATGGGGGTAACCACGAAAAATTGTGGTCCTCTGTTTCTATGTGTCAAACCCTGGAAAGTTTGAAAGTAGCAAGAGCAAGAGGAAGCTTACTGATTGATATAAAAGAGAGAGACAGACAGGCAGACAAGGTCATGTGACTTAAAGCTTTGAAAGATAGAACCTCAAAAAAGAAAAAAAAAGAAACACCTCCCTAAGAGTTGTAACTATAAATCTACCCTCAAAAGATCTGAGGATCTGAGGCTGGATTTCATGTTAGCTGAGTGTTCACCAGTAAATTTCTGGCTAAAAATTTAATTCAAAACAGTCCCAGTCTACTATTTATGCCTCTAACACGGTCAACAGAAACAAATGAATATTCCCTCTGGAAGAATTTACTTTAAATGCAAAGACCAAAGAAATCCAGAAGGAAACATTGCAACAAATGAAACAGGCAAGAAAAGAAGAAACTGTGAAGGAGGGTTAATAGAAACAATCTATAAAACCAACTTGCAACTCCCAAAGGCTGCCAGTATCTGGCTTGTTCAAAACAGAATGCAAAATATCCATGCTAAATGCTGATTTTTGGGTTTTTTTTTTTTTTTTTTGGTCTTTTTTGAGACAGGGTCTCCCTGTAGCCCCAGCTGGCCTGGGATGTAGATCACACTGGCTGCCTCTGCCTCCCAAGTGCTGGGATTAAAGGTGTGTGCCACCACACCCAGCTTGAATACTGATTTTTTTTTTTTAAAAAAGAGAACTCTTTGAAAGTATAATGAAAGAAAAAACTATCAGCTCAAATGTCTATCAAAAGATGGACAGATAAAGGAAATGTGGCACAGATGTATGCACACACAGTGGAGTTTTACTCACCCATAAAAAGAACAAAATTAATATCATTTGCAGAAAACAAATGGAACTGAAGATGATCGTGCTAGGTGAAATGCGACAGACCCAGAAAGACAAATACTATGTGTTTTCTCACGTAAGCAGAATCGAAGTTTGTTTTTTTTTTTTAAAGAGACACAAAAATAGAAGTAGGGCTAGTTGGGAAGAGGAAGAAGACCACTGGGGAGGGTTGAGGGTGGAGGGAAGAGGGATAGAGAGAGCAGTGGGGGGGGTGACTATGATTGAAGTCCATGATATTCATGGATGAAAATGTCGTACTCAAAAGTATGATTTTGTTCAATAAGGATAAGCTAATAAAATGTTTTTAAATTTTATTTATTATTTTTATTTTATGTGTATGCGTGTATTGCCTGCATGTAGGTAAGTGCACCCATGTCGTGCAATGCCCTTGGAGGACAGAAGAGGCCATCGGATCCCCTGGGACTAGAGTTACCGACAGTAGTTAGCTGTCATGTGGGTGCTGGGATTCGAACTTGGGTCTTCTGCAAAAACAGCCAGCACTCTTAACCACTGAGCCATCTCTCCAGGCCCCCAGGATTCTTCTTAAAATGGCGTCCTACATCTGTTCCAGTAAAGTGGTGAAAAGAGAAGCTTTCTAGCATCTTAGAATTTTGTTTTTATTTTTCCCCACCTAAAAAATTTTATAATTTTAGCTATTACATTTGCATTAGTTTTTATATGTTGTGAGGTAAGGTCCAATTTCATACTTTTGTATGTAGCGATCTAG